ACACGAAGAAAAAGAATTAAGTTTTTGAATTTGCCCATTTGCCCGTCTGTTCCATCAGAGGTCCAGAGCTCTCTCAGACTACTCTCGGACCACTTCCGGATACCAGCCCGAAAGACCTCCCTTATTTAGAGGGTGGAACATTGTTCATTTTTATATTATTTTATTCATTAATTTAATAATTTTGTTTATAATATTTTTTTTTCAATCATAAATCTTAATATTTCATTTAATAATAAAGACCCGTCATTTTTTCTAAATAATTATAAATTACATAAGCATTAAAGTTGTCACTTCCAGGTCGAGATTTTAAATCCACCCTTTTAACTCATTTGTACGGTTTTATGTGTACAAATCTAATCAGAGAGTTATTTGTTAAGATTTTATTATTATTATATATTTAAACCTTTGGACATTTATCCCCTCAGGATATTGTCCTCATTATTTTATTACAACATTCAAATGAAAGTCAAAGTACAGAGTTATATCTCTGAGGCAAGTAAATTACCTTTTTAGGTCAAATCATTAAAATTGTTCCTATAATTTGTAATATATTATTATTTGTAAATTTAGATCAATTATCATTATCATTAAATTTATTCTTATATTTTATAATTTATAAATTCAGATTATCAAGGGAATTTAGATTGTATAAATTCGATAGGGATTAATTTTTTGGTGAAAACTAAATATTTCTATTAATACCTGTTTCCCTCTTTATTTCAGCAAACAGCTTTACAAGATACCTTGGAAAGTTTATGTAAATACTTTCCTGGCGCCCACTCACATTTAGGAGCAACTTCTATAATCACTTTTATTTACATTAGTTATATACCTATAGATTTTTTATTACCTTGTCATTCATTTTCTTATTCTACGGTTTCTGTAGGGCATGCAAATTGACCGAATCGTCTTTTGAGTGTTAAGTAGTCACTCTCCGGCACCTTCTGCTAGCCAGCTTTAAATTATACATTATCTATACTTATACATTATCTTTTACATTACCCCAAATACTTGTGTTGCATTACACACTTTTATTACATTGACATCCTAAAACCTCTTAGTCCACACATTTTTGTTACATTGGCGCCCAACACAATTTTTGTTACAAATGCACTCTTTTAGTGTAACGAGATTACAAACTAGTTTTAGCATAAATAATTAGAAAAACATAAAAAACATAAAAACAATTTACTTAAACCTATAATTTAGATGAAAGTTCGGATTTTATAATTGGGAAACATAGTTATAATCTAGTACCAACATAGTTAAAAACTAAATAATTAACACAGCATATTATTTGGTTGTAAATATTTATCTTATAAACTAAAAATCAGTTGTCCTCTTCATTGGACCAGGTCTCGTCATCGCAATTTTCTGCTAGTGTTTGCTCTCCGTTGTATGTGATAAGCTTTTCCTGAAATTTTCTGCGTGCTTTACACAATTAGCCCAAACTTCACGTATTGCCTCACATAGAGCAACTTTTTTAACGGCTGTAGCTCTACGTCCAGTTTCTCCCATGTGGGAGAAACTGTATCTTATAAACGCCGCAGTTCGAGTGCCAGTCTTGTCATAAGCGCTTTATTAATGATTAAACAACAATATTTTAAAATTAAATAGGCTCAAAATGCTTATTAGGAAATTATAGAACGAGGTTTGAATTTGAATTTAGGTCCTTGTTGAATTTAAAAATAAAGCTTTTTTACTTGTTTTTAAGCTTTGAAAATCGTAAATTTGCGTTTTACTTAGTTGTAGTAGTTTTATATTATTTATACCTCAAGAACAATCAAGTTTACAGAAAAACTACAAGAGACTTATTTTGTTCAAAATAATCCGAAGAAATGTCCGAGCCAAAGATTGATTGTTACAATTTGTTTAAAAACATTTTTTTTTAATTTCACAACTTTTCGTCTGATCGACCTCTTGAACCTTATTTTGAAGTATCTCATGAAAGTGATTATGCAAAAAAATCTCATGGGAATATTTTCCGAGCGAACCCAAGGCTTTCGCCTTGTCTAAGATGCTAATGTGTGGCAGCGTTTTTGTGAATTTAATTACCTTTCATAATTTTTTTTTAATGGCGTTGACATTAGTCATTCAGCCAGTTGCAATAGATTCTCCAATCAGACAAATGCACAACTCTATCCCTAATCGAAAACTAACGGATAATTAATAGAAGAATATACGACAAGGAAACTTACAGGGTCACTTGCTTCTCGTCTAGGAGCCCATCAAGACATTCTTAGTAGACAAACAAAACTGGACCACGGATAAGGTGTTATAACATTTAGGGTAAACAAAGGATACAAATCTAAATTTCCACACGATCATGAAAAATTTCATGCTCGAGTACAAATTCTATAGAACCATGCATGTGTCTGAAAAGAAATCTATAATGATATTATATATATTTTGTGAGCCTGTCGCCAGTAGCGACTGAATATTGAATGGTGCATACATATTAAATTCGATTAATTTTTTGTAGAGAGAGTTTGAATGCTGTTGAAACTTAAGGCATTCAAAAAAGATGTGATCAAGATCACCCAGTTTTCCGCAATGTTTGCAATTATCATCTTCAATCACATTTATTTTATATAAATGACTTGGATAACACGCATGTCCAAAGCGTAGTCTATTTATGGTGGTTATATATTTACGTAAAGATTTAAAATTCTTAAACCAAATAGTTTGTGGAATAACTGGTTGTAAAGTGGTGTATCTTGTTTGGTTTGTAAGGCAGTAAAGATTCCATTGATCTTTCCATGTCGCTAGCTGGTTTTTTTTAAATATCCTAATGGCATCTGATACACATAAAGAATATGGCAATAAAGTGCCTGATATTATACTGGTTTTAGCTAAATAATCTACATATTCATTATCTTTGAGTCCAATATGTGCCTTAACCCAAATAAATTTTATATTAAAGCCAGAGTCTACTAAGTGCTTTAATTGATCTTTTATTAGAAAAATATAAGGATTACTAAATGTTTTGGGCAAAAAAGTGTTTTTTATGTTCTGTAGAACTGAAAGGCAGTCTTAAAGAATTAACGATTTTTTAATATAAGAGTTTTTAACATATTTCAAAGCTTCGAGTATAGCCAATGATTCCGCCGGGAAAATTGAAAACTCCTTGGAAAGTTTGTACTTAAATTCAGAACCTCCTGAGGGTAGAAAATAGGCACAGCCAGTCCCTTCTATTGATTTGGATGCGTCCGTGTATATAACTGTGGCATCACTATAACAGTTCAAAACAGATCTTAGAATATTGTTGATCAATTTGTTGTTGTGACTATATGTGGGTATTATAACTTCAGCTTTATGGAAGAGAGCAAAAAAGTCTAAATTTTTTTCCACTTTGGCCAAATTTTTGAAAAAATTGAATTGTTCTGTAAAGCAGTGCACAAAGGTGGAGACGGCTTCTTAATCCAATATTTATGAGTGAGATCTGATTCGTTAAGTTGACGTATACTGGAAAATATTTTGGGATATGTTGAGTGGGCTTTGAGTACCCATTTTTCACTTAATAAATTTCTTCTAATCGAAAGAGGAGGTTCATAAGCTTCAACATGTAGTGGTTGTATAGGGATAGATCTCATAGCACCTAAACAGACCCTTAAGACAGAATTTTGAAAAATGTCAATTTTTCTTAGAAGATTTCTAGATGCAGAACAGTAAAGAGTAGCACCATAATCTATAATGGACCGTATACAACCAAAGTATGGTGGGGTTGCGATGTTGAAACATCCTTATTGTTTTACAGAGCTTATATACGAACCGTGGAAGTTCTGCAGAGCAATATTCTAGACGTGTACGTTCTAGAACAGTCCAATATCTATTTTTAACTGCTAGGAGGCAACATGCAATTGCTGCACCTGCATTGATTTGACTTGCATCGTCTGTACTATTTTACCATAGACAGATATCTATATCGGTAAAAGACGTCCCCTACGGAATAAAAATTGACTTGTTAGACAACGTTGGGGGCAGTGAGCAATTACATTTTGTAGAAAAACCCCGTTATGTTTCCTTCCTAATAATTCAAATCTAAATTAAATTGTTGTTATGTAGTTCTATTTTTTTAATAAAATTTATTTCCAAAGATTAGATAACTAACTTGTTAAATATATAACGAATCAATAAAATATTTCCGTAATTTATGCGCTAGGCGCCATTATGACAATTTTTTCAACGACGATTAGCAAATCTAAATATACACTCGTAATGAACACATTTTATCGGTTTACAATAATAATCACCAAAGGGTCATCAAAAACGTGATATATTAAGTAATTATTTTTTAATTATTATATATTGGCTATATATGAAGTGTTATTTTGTAGTACTGTTTAAACTGTTTTATTTGCCACCCAAGGCAAAGCTGATACACGTTTTTTTTCGAAATTAATTATATGCAGCATGGCTGATAAGAGAATATTACTGATATAAATGTTCATAATGGAGTGTTAAACAGTAAATTCCAAGAGCTATAAATACATTATATCTAATTTTCCTCGAGTTTACACAAATATGCATATCAAGTATATTTAAATACACAACAATATGTTTAAATAAACAACATAAGCGTCTTAAGCCTTTAATATTCGTTAAATCCAAAAGAGAGACATTGGAAATAGACTGAATGTAGACTTTGTTGGGGAAGGTTTTTTCAGACTATGTATATCAGAATATTCGTGAAATCCAAAAGACACATATTGAAAATAGACTGAATATAGATTTTGTTGGGAAGGTGTTTTTCAGACTTATTAGCGTTTGTTAATTCTGTGAGGTGACCAGGACTGGGTGAACGCTAAGGATGGTTCGATGTCAAGTATCCGACAATATTCACGTTTCATGATTGATTTTACGGCATGCGGAGTGTCATCAATATAATATTACCATATCCTCTTCACTCCTTTTGTACACATGTGTGTACTAATTCAGTTACGTTTATATCGTGGAAATAATGAAAAAGAAACCTGTATTTGGTAATGTATCTACTACAGGACACTACCCTCGACCGTTCTATAGTGAAGTTCGGTAAATCACTCATAGATGGAAGCAGTAGTAACATCATGGAGAATCGTAGAAAAATGGTTCCATACCGTGACTTAAATAAACGTGGTAAGTACTGTTATTATAACATCATTTTAAGCTGTAAATAGTATTTGGTCTTCTATTAGTATTACTCCGTGTTGTCGAAGTTCCCAAATGTATACAAATTTTGCATTATCAGAAATTTGGAGACATAAAGAGATTTGTACACATTTGTGTAATCGAGTACCCAGCACTGATTCTACTATTAATTATTATGGCTACATATGTGTACACTAGTTCCCAGCCCTAGTTGTACTGTTGATTATTATGGCTACATACAGGGTGATTGTTTGGGTTGGAAACCTTAAAATATCTCAATTAAGTACCATTTAAGCAAAAAACGTCGAGACAGATCTATTTTTATTTTGGATAACTGCAACTGTGACCATGTCATTCATTTAATTTTTGCTTAAATGGTATTTACTCAATAGAGATATTTTAAGGTTCCAACCCAAACAATTACATTCTATGTGTACACTAGTTCGTAGTTAGTAGTAAATATTAATCAACTTCTAAAAACGCGTTATTTTTTTACAGATCGAAAAAAACCTTTAACTCAAGAAGAACTTTTATCTCTGCTTGATGAAAGTGACATAGATGAATTTGATGACTCTATAGCAAACGAAAATTACACACCTGATTTGAGTGATTTAAGTGATCTCGAATCAGACAGTGATGCTGGAGAGAATGAAGAGACAACTCAAAATTTTCAACAGGAGAATACTCTTAACGGAGGTGAACATTTAAGTGATTCCGAATCAAACGGAGATGAACAGGAGATTAGTCCGACAGAAAGTATTTATGACAAACAAGAAACTGGAGATGTAATTCAAAGTGCACACACAGATGAAGTCAAGACGGAGGGTGAAAACTCAGCAGAAAATAGAACTGTTAATGATGTCCAAAAAAATACTAGCGCGGAAGCTCCTAAAAAACAGAATTTGAAAAAAATTAATTTTAAATGGGACAAAAAATTTAAACTGAAAACTAAATTTCCAGAATTTGAAACTAACTTATCAGATTCAAGCAGCGAGTTTGAGCCATTACCATTAAAATACTTTGACGATTATTATAACAATGATTTTTTTGAGTTAGTTGCTACACAAACTAATATTAATTTTCACCAAGTTCGTGGAAAAGTACTAAACACAACTGCTTCTGAGATTCGAAATTTTATAGGAATCACTTTAATTATGAGTACATTAAAGTATCCAAGAATAAATATGTATTGGGCTACCCATTACCGAGTTCCTTTAATAGCGGATTGTATGACAAGGGACAGATATTTTTTATTGCGAAACACAATTCACTTTGTCGACAATAATTCATTTTCTGAAAATGACAAGAAAGAAAATAGATTATGGAAAGTAATGCCCGTAATCCAAAGATTTCAGCAAGCAGTTTTAAATCTACCAAGAGAAAAACATGTTTGTATAGATGAGCAAATTATTCCTTTCGCTGGTCATGTTAGAATTAGGCAGTATGTACCTAGAAAACCCAATCCAACTGGACTTAAACTCTATGTGTTATCATCTCCAAAGGGACTCATTTTAGATTCATTCATTTATCAAGGAGCTACCACAAATTTTCCGATCGATCCTAATTCGAAATTAGGTACAGGAGGTCGAGCTGTCTTAAAATTAATAGAAACATGCCCAGCAGGTACAAATGTTTACTTTGACAGGTATTTTACTGGAGTTGCACTCTTAGAAATTCTTCACGAAAAAGGGATTTCTGCAACAGGAACAATAATGACAAATCGATTTCCAAAAATCGGATTAAAATCAGATGCCGAAATGAAAAAGATGAGAAGAGGGTGTATAGATTCAAGAACTAGAGAGGACGGCAAAATATGCATTGTCAAATGGATGGATAACCGATCTGTACTACTGGCTTCAACAATACATAGTGATCGACCTTTGGATGAGGCAAAAAGATATTCCAAAGACGATAAAGGTTACATTTATGTTCAAAGACCCAATATTGTTAAAAACTACAATACCAATATGGGAGGTGTAGACTTGGTAAATCGGATGATATCAACCTATCGTTCCTATCACAGGACAAAGAAATGGACAGTCCGGCTCATGGAACACTTCATGGATATGAGTGTAGTGAACTCCTGGATAAAATACAGAAATGAGTGCAGTAATCATCAGGTTCCTCGTCGAAAAGTTATGGACTTATTGGATTTTAAAACAGAAATCGCACAGGAACTGATTTTAAATAATAAGACTAAAAGAACTTTATCTGATGAGGATGAAGATGGGCCTACTGCAAAAAAGAAATGCCGTGGTAGACCTGGATTTGTTGCTATTCCTCTTCAACAAATGCGATGTAATGAAGCTAAGCATTTACCTGTAGCAGAAGATCTGACAACTGCCCAGAGATGCCGAAAAGAAGGTTGTAAGGGTCGATCTAGAATAAAGTGCACCAAATGTAATGTATATTTGTGTATTCTTAAAGATAGAAATTGTTTTAAAGACTTTCATTGTTCAAAATAAAAAAATATTTTAATTTGTTTTTATAACTTTCATTTACTGTTTGGTCCCTGTATACACATATGTGTACAAATTAGTTGAGAGAATATTCTACGTACAATACTAGAGTGCACATTTGTGTACAAATTGATAACGGCGACTGTTATCAATTAGAGCTTTGTTAACACAATCATAGTCTTATTTAGGCCTAAAACACTCCGTAAAATAATAAATTATTATTAAATAATACATTCTGCAATGTCGGGACTGAAGAGGATATCTTTCCATTGCATTATATTGATGAACCAGAAACAAATAAAGGCTACGATAAAGCTTAGCAAGGACCGTAAAAGTTACAACAAGCAACCAAGAGAGCAAAAGGTTTAAGTATACAGCAAATATTTAACCTACAGTCTACAGTGTATAAACACAAACACGTTTTTTATCATCTTTAATATAAGTATCGAGATTTGTTTTCCTCATGCTACAGTTTTATATAATTTTTTATAATGCTATTCCAGTTTTAGTGATAGATCAGATTTAAAATTTTACCAAATTTTTTTCACATTTAAAACTTTTAGAAGATGCACTAGAAGGTTGTGTGTGAGTTTTTGGGAGTTATTTGTTTACTCCTTATCGTGTAAAAAATGGTTCATATTTATTGACGGCATGCGTATTTCCGGTTTCTGTAGCATTAGTTAGTATGTAACGAAAAAACATGCAAATAATAATTTATTTATTATTTTATTTTTGACAGTAAGTAACGACAATCCATTCTGACAACCGCGTTTTGATGGAACTGTTTAAGCAAGCTTATAATAAGTAATCAAATATTTATTTATACAAATCCCCTCTTTAAAGATGTAGTCTATCAAGAGCTTGAATAGTTTTTCTTCTCACTGGTATAACTGATGTAGAGCAATTGCATATGTTTCTTTGATTTTTAGAGATTCCTCTAACTTTGTCTCAATATCAGGAATTTCTTCCTTGGCATTGGGTACTGGGTGCAGAAACTTCATTTTTCTTTAATTAGCTTGCAGACTTTTAACGATCTTTCCTAAAATTTGATACCCATACGTTTTGTCCAGGAGTTAATTCAAGAAGTTAAGAGGCTCGATGGCGAGCATCAAAATTCAACTTTTGTTTTTTATTTTTCTTTTTCTCCCTTATAAGTACCTTTTGAGAATCCGAAACCGTCGGAATTAACTGTAATGAGGCAATTGAGAAAGACAACATGAGAAAGTTTCAAAACAATAATTTCTATTTAAAAGTTTTATGGCAAAAAGATTTTGTTTAATGTCATAATCTCATACACACGCACATAAAATCTTATTACACAGAACAATAACTATATCTAGTTATATATAACACAATTTATATAACACAGTAACTATATCTTTTTACCCTAGATAAATGGAAAATGTACAAAATCAGGAAACCACAATCCCATACTAACATAAATAGGACCATGGGAGTGAAACGCCCAACAACAAGGACAAAGAATAAAACAAATTGGGCAAACTTCAAGAAACTAGAGAGCGAAGTAATTGGAAAACGTCTCAACAGTAGAAAATCTATCAGACCTAGAAGAAAAAGTACTTGATTTTTAAAATATGATAGAAGAAGTTCTAATAATCAGTACCAAAGAACATACGATCAGTAGGGAAATTTAGGAAAATAAACCCCGAACAAAGAGAAATTATCACTATAAAAAGTGTTAGAAAAGAGACAAAAGAGCAAAAACTCCGGCAGGCAGAAACAGGGTTAACCGACTAAATCGACAAGTCAAACAGGCACTAATAGAATACAGAAGCCAAAAATGAGATAAACACGTGAAAGAAATAAAAGAACAAGGACATAACATGAAAAAAATATGAAGGCTACAAAAAATATTAAGAAGTGATAGAAAACCAACTCCACCGCACCAGGGGTGAAAAAGGAATCGTGTACTCCGAGGAAGAAAAACCAAAGGTTATCAGAAGGTCTCTTAACGGAGAGTATACAATAAATTATCACCTAGATAAACATATTGGCTTTATCTATGAAGTCGAAGAACTACAAGCAGAATTGCCCGAAGACCAAGTGGGCATAATCACCCCAATATCTCCAAGTCAAATAAGCGAGTTATTGAAGAAATGCTCCTAGACCAAACGAAATAACAAACAGGGCTCTAAAGTATCTCTCAATCAAAACCATAGTTTATTTAAAAAATATAACAAATACAATATTGAGGTATAGGCTCTTCCCAAATCGATGGAAAGAAGCCCATGTGATAATGATTAACAAACTAGGAAAGAACAGTATTTTCCCTCAAAATTACAGGCCGATTACCTAATTTATAACAGTCAGCAAAATAGTAGAAAGGGTCATACAAACTATACTCCAGACAGAGATAGACCAGCTTGGAATAATTTCTAAAGCACAATTTGGTTTCAGAGTACAGCACTAAAGCGAACATCAACTAATTCGACCAAACAAATATGTTGCAGGTTAATTCAATGATAATGATAAAAATTATACGAGAGCTGACTTCATAGATGTTAGCAAAGCATTTGACAGAGTATGACATCAAAGGCTAGTATTTAAAATGAGAGAATATGAAAACAGCAAGGCCACGGCAAGACTAGTGACTTCGTACCTTGGCGACCGGAGGTTTAGGGTCCGAATAGAACAAGTCCTGTCCGAACACAGACCGGAGGACCAGAGGGAGTAGTATTGTCACCTCTATTGTACACCATATACATACACAGCTGACGTTTTAAGAATTCTCGGAACTTTCCTTAGCCTATATGAAGACGTCACTGCTATAGCGGCGAAAGACAGAAATCTGAATGTAGCCATGCGAAATCTACAGATGGCAATGGATACAACACAAGACTGGTGTATCTAATGGAAAATGGCACTACATCCAGAGAAGACCCAAGACAATCTTCAAAAGTACAAGACTTTAGACAAATTATTAGTACAAGAGAGACCCATCCAATGGAAAAATGAAACCAAATATCTAGGGGTCACAATGGATAAAGGCCTAAAGTTGACACCATTTGTAAACGCAACAATTCAAAAGACTCACAGTCAAAGGACTCACAGAAATAAAATGCAAATTAACAACAAAAACAGAGTATTGGAGATAATGGAAGAAAAAGCGATGGAAAAATGCGTTGAGCTTGAAAATCATCCAAACCAGATCCT